GCACTGTTTCACGGCGCTTCCCCGTCACGCTGCGCCGTCAGGTGACTCTCATCGCGACACGGGGAGTCTCCCTCACAGCCCCGGCAACCGGCCCCGCAGGACAGGCTGGGGCAGCGCAGGGGCTCTGTTCTGACCGACAGGTCGACTCTGTTTACTCACAGCCTTCCTGCAGCAGGGCGGTGTCACAAAGACATTGCCATGCCCGTCACTGCTGAGAGAGCTACTGTAGCTGCTATTGTCCCGAGTTTGTAACACGCTGTTTCTGGCTGCCTGGCAGCAGCGCCCTCCGGAACTCACCCGGACCGCACCAGCTCTCTGGGCCAGCTCCGGCCCCTGCTCTGCACCCCGCCGGCCCGGCTCGCCTTCCCTCGCTCCTGCCCCCTTGAGCGCCGGCTCCCCCGCCCGGTCTGGGCTCCTGGTGCCGGTTTCGGCGGCTCCGATCTTGACGCCGTTGGCCCCGTTCCGGCGGGTGGCGGCGGACGGAGCGCCAGCTGTCGGCGTGCTGGGCCCCGGGTGTCTGTGGGCGCTGTCCCCCGCCGGTGTGCCGCTGTCCAACGGGGACACGGCCGTCAGCGGGCCGCCCCTCGCCTCTGCGGTGCTCATTGCGCCCCAGCCGGGTGCCCCCTTGTTTCTGTCTGATATCTGCGGAAACCCGCCCGGCTCCGCCACAGGAGCGCGACAGGTGTGCGCCGGAGAGAGAGCGAGCAGTTACCTGTGACAGGTGAGAGGAAGCACCGACACGGAAGTGCAGGTAAAGGTCAGCGCGGCACTGGGAGCCAGTGGAGAAGAGGAGGAGGGGGGTCTCCAGACCTCAGACCCGCTGCTCGCCAGTGCTCGCTCGTCTTTCCTCTCGCCCTGACTCCCTCTTAAGCCGTTCAACGGCACTGCGCGTTTTAAGCCACATGGAGCTCTTTCCAGCCAGTACCGCGCTTGCACTGCGCTTTGTGAAACAGGAAACACAACCTTCCATGTCGCAATGATCCCGGAGGAAGGTAGGTCTGAGCCACAGCCCAGGCAGGCTGAAGGGCTGAAGACACGGCGCTCAGGGGCAGAGCAGTCGCGCACACTGTGCATTCCTCTCCACACACCCAGCGGGGCGCCCGGCGCTGCGTGAGAGCAGTCCTGGTAAATCATCAATTCTCTCTCCCTGGACTTTCCCCCCTTTCGGTGCACTGCACCGGGAGTCGTACTTTCTGCCTGTCTCGGCAAGACATTTACACGCGTGGATTTCCCACATCCACGCAGACACAACCCCTTGGGCGAACAGTAAGCTCTCTCACGGTGCAACCGCCTGTAATTCTCCCGCTCGCCACCAGAAGACGCTTCACTCGGACCCGGTGTAATCTGGGTCACGTTCTGGACTCCTTGTGCGAGTTTTCACTTCGCTGTGAGGCTCTGGTGCGGGCAGTCCGCGCTGTCCATCTCCTTTCCCGTGACGGCCGTCGGGTCTACTGCACTTTCACTTCGGAAACTGTTTTCTGTGTTGTAGCTCTTGATGCCGATGCAATGAATCGAATAAATGAATCTTGATCACTTAAACGATCGGGTACAGAGAGGTTCACCGCGTGCTTACTCGTGACCTGCCAGACGTCTACCTCAGAGTCTTAACGTCTCACCCATCAGAGTCGGGCGTCTCTCTGGGTGAAAGCCTGAGACACGAGAGAAATCGTGCTGCCGTGCACGACACACGCCGCCGGGGGGCGCTAGACCTCTTACTCCTGCCTTGCCAGTGCCTTAAATGTCCTTTAATAAACGTCCCCTGGATCACAAAGACCACTCTAACAGCAGGATGTGATTGACATTTATTACAAGCCCATTCACATATTCTCCTGTCACGTGTTTATTGCACCAGCCCATGCGGTACCGAACTGGTTTCTGCTTCGAGCTCTCGGGCGTGCTGGATCACGTGGATGCGTGACCGCCCAGCTCCTTCCGCCTGGGCCACGCTGTGTAGTTTCGCGCGAAATCAACGTCAAAGCAGCCTGGTAACGGAACGCGATTACGTCAGGGGGAAGGGTTGGGGTGGGATAGGCCTAGGAAATCCCGCCCTCCGATTGGTCACTTCGATCGAACAGCCTGACGTCACAAGGGGTTCGTCAGTGCCTAGGAATGACAAATGGGTAAAAAAAAGACAACCTGGCCGTGCGCGGGCTCTGATTGGCCAGGCGCTCCTTCCTTCCTGCTCTGATTGGCCGGAGCCGAGGCGCTCTCTACCCTGGCGGCCCCTCCCCCCCGCACCCCTCCTCCCGCCTGCCTTTCCGTCTCCGCTGCTGGAGCCAGCGAGCTGAGCGGCGGCGAGTCCAGCAGGCTTTGCCCGGGATCCGGACTGGACCGGGGTGGCGGGGCGCCCTGACGAGCTGCACCTCTGCGAGCATCACCTCTGCCAGCTTCCGCCTCGCTGTCTGGGAGCCCGGAGCGGGCGCGCCTCCTCCTGCCCCATGTCGGATTTCAAGCTGGGGATCGTGCGGCTGGGCCGTGTGGCCGGGAAGGTGAGCCATGTGTGTCAGAGAGGTGGGGGCGGCCGGCCGGCCGTCGCAGTTTGCAACAGCCCCGGAGAGCGGCGTAGGGCAGCCGTGGCGGCAGAGAGGGGGGGTATTTGTGCCGGTTTTCCCTGAAACGCCGCGTTCTCCTAACGTGGCGAGGTACCGGGACTATAGTGGTCGCTGGCGCACACCAGGAACCTCTCGGCAACGTGACACAAGCCGGCATGTTGCGGGCCCTGCGAGTCCGGCTGGGCTTTAAACGCCGCGACTCCAGCGAGACAAACGCGTCTGAAATCCTCTCGCCCCTCTCTCCCCTCTCCCCTCTCCCTCTCGGCCCCCGGGCGTGCCCGCAGCCCGGCCGCCTCGCCGCTGCAGGGCTGGACGCGGTGTGGCGTGCGAGGCGGGGCGCCGGTCGCTAGAGGGCCGCCGGCGGGGGACGGGAGAGGGAGGCGAGACCGGGCACATGCGGCCAGCGGCCTGCTGCCCGCCGGCTGGCGGCTTGGCGCTCCACTCGGTGTTTCTGCGCCGGTGTAGGTGCGGGCCGGAGCGGGACAGGCAGCTCAGCCCTGCTTCTCTGGCGCATGCAGGTGCGTTTAACCCCGGCTTGTTGGTGCTCCCTGGCAGGGACCTCCCGCACCCTGTGCAGACGTGTCCTGTAAAGGCCCGAGTGGAGACTCCAGGGAAGTCAGCTGGCGACATAGAGCAGGGGGGTCCTTCTGTACACAAAGGGTGGTAGGAGTGTTGAACAGGCTTCCTAGCCTTGCTGGTGAAGCTGCTTTCAGTTCAGGGCTTTCAGGATCCTCGGAGTAACTATCTACTGGCAACCAGTAGGGGCGGCATCCCTGTTGTCTCGTGATGGTAAGAACGTGTGTGGTTCAGCAGATGGTTTATTCGGGGTGACTGAGAGAGACAGGGGGAGCTGCACTGTGCCCCAGCTGAGCCGCGGTCGATCTCCGGGCCTCTCGGGCAGCTCTGAGGCTGGGCAGCGGAGCCCCTGTGCTTGCGGTGTGGTGCAGGGAGGTAGGTATTTGGGACATTCCCCCCGGCCATGGGGGGTGTCGGGTGTCCAGAGGGCATGCTGGTGCCGTCAGGCTGCAGACTGTCCTCCAGCATGGTGCACTGGGATGAGCGGAAGCCCAGCTGAGGTCTCGACGAGGGCCGGTCCCGATTGCTGATGGTGTGTTCTCGGTCTCTCCCCTCCACAGACGAAGTACACTCTGATTGACGAGCAGGACATCCCCCTGGTGGAGAACTATGCCTTCGAGGTGAGAGCGGGGCGCTGTGCCCATGCGGGGAGTGGGGGGGGCGTGTCCGAGAGCCCCGTCTGACCTCCTCCTCTCCCTCCTCTCGCGCAGGCGCGGATGGAGGTGGACGCCGACGGGAACGGGGCGAAGATCTTCGCCTACGCCTTCGACATCAACAAGGGGCGCTGGGCGGGCAGGCCGCTGCACGAGCTGCTCTGGTGAGGACAGCCGCCCCTCGGCCTGCGCGGGGTCTGGGGGCGCCCTTGTGTCCGAGCGGCTCGCACGTCCGTCTCCGACACTTACTGTGCAGCTGCGGAAGAAGACTTGTGGCGGATGAGGCCGCGCTCTCTGCGCCTTCTCGTTGCTTCTGGCCTTGAGCCCGACCAGTGGCAGGGTGCCTCCTGAAGAGCTCGAGGCGCTTCTCCTGGTCCGTGTGTGCGTTGCAGGCATTCTGCTGTTGCACAGGAGTGAAGTGGAGGAAGTAAGATATTGGTCAGGACACAGAAAGCTACAGGAAGCAGCGCTGAGCGAGGTTTTGCTGTGATGTGTGCGTCTGTCTTCTGCAAGTGTGCAGGTTCATGCCAGGTGTCCACGCGCTGGCCTGTCTGCTGGCGTCCTCAGTCTTGTCCGCTGTCATCTGAGGGCCCGTCTCAGTTTGTCCTCCGTCTGCTCACAGGGAGAAGCACCGCGGGGGCATCGCTCCATGTTTCCAGGTCGTCCACATCAACTCCGTGACCGTGGACAACCGGCTGGACAACCTGCGTCTTGTCCCCTTGGGCTGGACCCCCAAACCCGAGGAGCTGTCCAGCAAGCAGAGGTACGAAACGCTGCCCGATCTGTTTATGGTGCTCGGCGTCTGTGGCCATGGCTCTGGGCTTCTGTCCAGCTGGTCAGTCCTGATCCTGGCTGCACAATCAGCAGTCTGGCTTCAGGGCTGGGGGTTTGTTGGTCAGTAAAAGTGTCTTGAGTGTCTCTTCAGGCATGTGTCTCCCCGTCTCGGGGGTTTGTCTGCGTCTCTGGAGTCCCGGCTCAGGTGTCTGACTAGGTCTGTGTGTCTCTGCCCAGGGAGCAGTCCCTGTACTGGCTGGCCATCCAGCAGGTGCCGGCAGACCCTGTGGAGGAGCAGTACCTGGAGCTGAGCCGCACGCGCTACTACAACGCCAACGGCGAGCTGGTGGAGGAGGAGGAGTGCTCCTGCACCTACTATGAGTGTCACTACCCACCCTGCTCGCTCATCGAGAGGAGGGTGAGTGTTGTACTGTCTGATGACGCGTCGTGCCTCTTCGCTGGTGAGCGAACACAAACACCGGAGCTGTTTAAGAACAGGAAGGTGTATTGTAAATGCCTCCTTTCAGGGAAGGAGTGACCTTCACCAGCCACACCTTGAAGGCTCTTGTCTCTTAAGGCTTTATCTCCCTCCTCTGTCCCTCCAGCTCCGAGAGTTCAATATCTGTGGGCGGTGCCAGGTGGCGCGGTACTGCGGCTCACAGTGCCAGCAGAGGGACTGGCCTGCGCACAAGAAACAGTGCCGGGAGAGGAAGAGGGTGCTGGCGCTGGAATCCGAGCCGGAACGGTGATCCCCCTCGAACCCTGGGCCGAGGCGGCAGGTGGGGGGGCAGGAGCCTGGGGTTGAGACGGGGGAGTCCCGGAGCGCGTCGAACTGCAGGTCCCCGCCCCGGGGCTGGAGTCGGACTGCTGCCCGTCCCTCCACCTTCTCCGCTTTCTGCTTGGAAACGACCCCAGAGACTTAACGAACGCAGAGCTCGTCGCCATGGATACAGACCCCTTCACTGTAACGCCTCCTGCTGGAAAACTGGACAACTTACCCCACCCTTCCTCTTCTCCAGCCCTTCCCCTGTCCTCTCCCTGGGAGAGACAGCGGATCGGCTGCCCTTGTTCCCGGTGTGCCGGATTTTTACTGTAAATACTCTCCCGCTGGCCGTCTCGGGCACGACTGAAGGCCGAACTGAAAACTGTATCAGGGAGAAGTGGATGGTTGGGATTTGTAGCCTCTGTGAGCAACAGAAGAAGATAATTGATTCCAGGACTATTATTGTTATTATTGTTATTATTATTATAATTACTGTTATTAATTTTTTCTGTGTGGAGATCTTGGCTGTTAAGAGTCCCCCACTGTCCCCATGTCAAGACTGTAACCCCTCCCCTCTCACACACGTTCTGAGACGCACGCACGCGCAAGCTCGTACCCGGGCTCGATGGGCCTACCGAGTGCCCGAGGGAGTCGCTGTGCTGGTGTTGGCTCCACAGTGCCCCTCCTGCATCTCCCTCGCTTCTGCGCCACGCTCAGAGGCACTGACTTCTCCATGCACTGCAGCCCCACGCTCAGGCGAGCATCTGATGGGACAGACACACGGGCCCAGAGGGATTCAGCCCTGTCTGTCACTGTGGAGAGAGCGTCCCCTCCGGGCCTGTGCACAGCCTGTGTGGGCTGGGCTGAGCTGCCCGTGGGGAGAGGCTGGGCAACATTCAGACCAGTCTGCTAGACCTGGTGGCAGGAGGAGGCCAAGTGCATCAGCAGGCGGGCAGCTGTCTTTGATGCCCATGGCCATCGTTATTCTTAGAATGATTACTGTTCGTCTGGCTGGGTTCCCTCTCTGTGCACTGTTATTGGAGTTATTGTAGCTGCCCGCTTGCTGGAGGTCTTTCCTTATTCCTGCTTCTCTGTTGGGACTGGAGCTCGGAGAGGGGAGGGCTGTGTGGTGGAGACAGATGAAGGCGTGGGGAGAAGTTTGTTTTTTAAGAAAATGAAACTTAATAAAATAACAGCCTGAAGGATGAGGAGTCTGGATGCCTGTCCGGCTCTTCACACTGTAAAAAAAAAAAAAAAAACCTTAAAAAAATAAAATATTGAAGTGAAGTGAGTTTATTTGATTTTTGGTGGGATTGACAGAGGGGAACAGTTTCATAAAGATGATGTTTTCTACCTGTAAGTTAGTGTATAGCGAATGTGAAGTAATTCTTAATTTTAATGTCTTGCACTTAAGATGTAGTTCAGATGAGGAAAGGTATATCCAGTGGAACATGTTTTGTACTTTGTGCAAAAATTCAATTTTGTACCTTAGCTTATTTTTTAGTGTAGGTGAAGTTCACAAGGGTAGCTTTCAGACTGTCTTCAATTGGCCTGTAAGCTCGCTTAGCTGGTTTTGTGCTCAGTCCAAGGTTTAAAAAACTTTGCCTTTTAAACCAGGTGTTTCCAGCGGCTTCTGCCTATCCAGTCGTTTAGAAAGCGGGCTGAGAAAGTTTTTTCCCTTATTTATGATGACAGCTCTTTCTAGGTGATCGATTGGTGTTCACCAGACGGTGTCGAAGCTCATTCCCACTGGAATCTGACAATCCCTCAGGGACTTTTTCTTCCAGAAGTCCAATGGGTTACATTTCGGACCACATGTACATGAGGGGAGATGATTAGCAAATCCAGTTAAACATTTGAGTCTTTTTAAAAAATATGCCTCAGAAAATAATATGAAATCAAATGGTCTCGTCCTGATGGTTGTAATTTTGTCTGTGCAGGGTTCAGTCTGTCAAGGTGACAACGGAACTGCCAGCCCACCGACTCGGTAAAAGTTACTTTTTATATCTCTGTTTGTCACAGCAACAGCAGGGAGCAACTAACTCCTGCGAAAAGGTTAGCTTATTCCGGTTTTTGTTAGTGTATTAAAACATTAGTACATTATAATATTTGAAAACCCCAAGTTTGCAGTTCTATACCCGTGTTACGTCTCAGTAAGATGTGTTCTCGTCCTTAGAAACCAATGATGACTTTGGCAACTTGAAAATAACCATGCTTTTGTTTTAAAGCGGCTGGCCGCACTGTACAGTGTATAAATATTTTGAAAGGCGAGCCTCAGTAATGAATTTTATTAGAAACTGCGGGCGAGTGAATGACCTTTCTCCCGCCGTCGCCATGGAGACGGGGTTTGCATAGTTGCGGCCTGGTCCGCCTGAGTGGTTATTAATCCTCAAGTGTGGCGGCTCCTCCAGTTTACCCCCCAATCTCACACCACCCAAATGAGTGTAGAACTTGACCAAAACATTTATGTCAGTGCTTAGTTTTAACAGAGTTTCGGGAGAGCAGTACCCAGACAGATCCTGTGTTTATCCCGGTAGTCTGCACACAACTCCGATATTCTGACACAACCAGGGGATTCGGCACACAAAGTGACCGGCTCGGATCACCAGGCCGGTTTTGCACCACTGTCTTGGTTGCAACAGTGATCGCGATTTCTAATTGCCTTATATTGCTGCCACCCCTTGCATCTCCGCCTTCCAGCAATAACGGCTTTGTGCTCTGTTTGATCACCAAACCTTGCTATCTGAAGCACCCACACAGACTCCGCCTGCTCTCCTCGTCGGCTGTGCTTGTTTCTACAGAAAAGCACGGAGCTCATTCCTTTTATTGTTATTTATGGCAATTTATTATCGCAACCACAACCCAGCATTGCAAACGGCTACAGACCGTTCCAAACCTTGAAGTGCGGGCTGGGATTTTGGTTTCAAATTTCAAGGAGGACACATCTGCACACTAGCTGTGGTCTTTTTTAATCGGAACGTGTTTGGTGAGTGCCGGACTAAGTTCACAACTTTTTTTTTGTTGTTGTGTCACTAGTCTTGATTTTCGGTTTATCGACGCCAGCAGAGCTCACTAGAGCTGGAAGGATTTTTTTTTAAAGAGTCTGATAACACGAGATCGGGTTTTTATCACAGTGAGAGGTGAGGGTCGGTGTTTTATTGTTTTACACGTTTTGCTTGCAGTGAGACGTGGATGAGAGATTGACCTAAGTAGTGTTCGATGTTGTTTCTAGTTTTGCATGCTTCTACATTCAGATTTTGGTTTTAAGAATTCAAAACAAAGAATACAATTTAGTTGTTTACTCATGGAGAGAAATATTTAATTTCTTCACAGAATCCTTCATGCTAATACAATGTTGACTATGGTACGACCGTGATTTAGGCTGCTCTGAAGATATTCTGCAATATTTAGCACTATCGCAGTATCGAGGTTTCTTGCAGAGTTGGTCAGGGTTTAATCCGAGTGCTTAAAGACATGCTGGCTCTGAAGACATGTCTCTGATTGATCCCCGTGCGTGAGTGTGCTGTGCTTCAACCAGGAATAAGCAGAATTCTGATGATGGGTGTTTTTCTAATGCTAACTTCCCTGTTAGAATGAAATGAATTAATTGCCATTGTTACTGGGGGCCCAACAGTTAACTGCACCATGGTCATGTGATATTTAAAACCGTACAGCCATTGAATTGTCCCAGGAATGGTAGAAATATAGTATGAAGCCCTTAAAAGTTTTGGGGAGCCAGAGTGCACGTGAGGGGTTACTGTTAAGGCTACAGCAAACGTTTTGGTGATGTTTAGGGAGCTGTAGTTACTCGCAGTGCTGTCACTGTCCCATGGAGCAATTTGCCTGGGTAATAAATACCCAGAGGGCTGTCTGTGTGCACACAGTACCAGCACAAACTTTCCATTTCAAAACAGCTAACAAATTAACACACCAGCCTGACGTAATACAATCATCTCAGGAAAAACAAAGAGCAGAGACATGGAGCTTCATGAATGAACCACGGATGTTGTGTGTCGGGTTGTAATAGCTTCGTTATTGTCATTAGAAGCTGAGTCCTGCAGTGTGGACCCCCGGGCTCATTGTGGACTGCCCTCCTGTGGGGTCCTGTGTCAGCTAGCCAGGAGCAGTGCTGGCTGGGGTGTTCTGCCTGTGATGCTGGGAAGATCAGGCTGTCCTGCAGCTCAGTGCAGGGAGGCTGGCCAGAGGGTGGCTGCACTGTGACCATGGTGATGGCGAGCTGTGGCTGCGAGGGGGCCGGGCTGGCTGGGCTGCGGTGCGAGGACCCTGGTCATGTGATGAGGGCAGTTGAGGCACTGGTCAGTGCTGTGCAGGAGGATCGGGACGGGGAGGTGGAGAGGCTCCTGCAAGACCCAGACAGTGACGACTGCATCAAAGCGCTGTGTGGATTGCTGCAGTCCCTGGACTCCAGGTATGCATGGCGAAAGCCCAGTACAGTGTGCTGTGTGTGTGTCTCTGTGGCTACGGTGTGCTGTGGGATGGTATACGGTATCTGTTGGTATGAATTTAAAGCCTGAACATTCAGTCAGACACCACCAGTCCCAACAGATGGTGGGTTTATTTGCTGCATGACTTTGTTATACTGTGCTGGGAGAGGCTGTCCCTTCTGTTTGAAGAATTTTCAGTTCAGTCCATGGTTAAAGATCATGTCAACGTAATAACTATTTAAGGCAATAGTTGGCTCACTTCACTTTATAGCCTGTAGGTGTGCAGGACCAGGGAAGGAGGACTTTGCTCCTGTGTCTGTATTTACTGTCCAGACCCCTCCCTGTAAACTCCAGCACTCGCTCAGTTACTAACTGACTCCCAACCCCGGCTGAACAGCATGTCCTCCGCTCTTCTGTGCACAAGGCCTTAACTCCCACTCTCTAAGAGTGGTCAGTTTACAGTCTCCATGGCAGCATGGGTCCTGTGTGAAGAAGTGGATTGTCCAGGAACATGCCTGAATTAAAATACTTAAAGATAAGCTTAAAGCGGGCACTTGGGTTTTAGTTTTAAATCAGGGCGTCCCTGCTGTGGTCCACAGGATACAGAACCCAGCAGGTGGCCGTAATGTCCTTATGTTATAAACAGCCCTGCAGCTGGATGACGGGTTAAGTTGATACTGTTATCGTGTAACTGGGCCAGTTTATTGCTCTTCTTCAACCTTTAGCTTTTGAAGATTTAAAGAGAAAGGTAGCCCTCTGGATACAGCTGCAACAGGACACATTTCTTCTGTAGTGTTACTGTAGCCCCTAATCTCTGAGAATCTGTGTGGCGGTGTGTAAGAACGAGTTGAGTGGTGAATCATGGGACTGACAACCGGCCTGACTGGCTGCTGCTCCCGACAGGCTGTGCAGTAACGCTGCCTACCTGGTGGGCCTGCTGGCGGAGAGTGAGGCAGGGCTGCGCAGGCTTCTGGCACAGGGGGGCAGCTCCTCCCTGATGGGGGCACTGTTGGCGCTGCTGCAGCATCACGACCCCGAGACCGTGACGAACGCGGCGGGAGCCATCGCCACTCTGGTAACTAAAGCAAAAACCGAAGGTTGGGTGGGTTGGTTAGAAAGCCCAGCCTTGATTCCGTAACCCCTCCCTAGATCACTGGCTTCTCGTTTGACCCCAAATACTTTACTCCTCACAGTAAAAGATCCCGTGCTTTTGTATTGTTTCTCATTGAGATTTCAGGTTTGACTTGACTCGGGTTTTCCTTCTGTTAAACCGCCGTGACTGCTGGGTGTGGCTCTGTCTCCCGCAGGCCGAGAGCGGCGCCGGCCGGCAGTGCGTTCTGAGCGACGGCGTCTTCGGCGAGCTGCTCGGCAGCGTGGCGGCCCTGCTGGAGGCCGCGGGCGGCTGGACGGTCAGTAACGCGGCGCTGGTGGTGGCGCGGCTCTCCCAGTCCGACGACGGCAGCCGGAAGCTCCTCGCTCACCCCGGCGCCCCCCACCTCCTGCGGCAGCTCACGCGCTGCCTCGCGCACGACCGCGCAGGTGCGCCTCGCTCTGGGCACTGGACAACACGGAGAGGGGAGTCGGAGGGGGGATTCCTGGCAGATTTGGGGAAAGGGTGCAGGTGGGGAATTTCCAGTGTAAAAGAAAGACGGACTAGACCGTGAGCCTTACACAAAGGCTGAGGACACATGACAATAAGCCTCCTTGTTCCTGGACCTTCTCAGTTTCAGAGGCAAACGGGATAAAAATGGACACATCAGGGGGCACACGGGATCCCCCAACAAAGCACTGTGAAAATGCAAATACATCTGGAAATCTAGCAGGGAGTCAGGGAGGACTGACGCTCACACCTCCAAAGAGCCAGATGAGCTCGTACTGTGTGAATCATGCAAACAGGATCAGCTGCATGAAATAACACTTCATTTAACCCAGGGTGTACTTTGTAAATGATCTAGAGTTGTAGTAAAACATTTTTGGGGCAACAAATGGTCCGTATGCAGCCTTCTGGCTTTCAGCTGACAGGTGTGCGTTTGCTTCCCAGGCTGCGGGGTGAATGCGGCCTTCGCTCTGGGCCGCTTGTGTGACTGTGAGGAGGGGAGATGTCACGTCCTGACGCTGGCGCAGGAGCATGACCTGGTGAGGCAGACCTGTGTCAGCTCTAGCTGCATGTGGCCCGCGTCTGTCTCTCGGGCTGCCTGGTCTCTGACTCCCCTGTCTGTCTCAGGTGGGTGCTCTGCAGGCCCTGCTGGCTCAGGGAGACCCAGGGGGCGGGAAGAACGCTTGCTTTGCTCTCAGTTGCTTGGCGACAGACGAGGAAGGCCACGCCCACATACTGCAGAGCCCCGCCCTCCCGAAACTGATGGAAGCTCTGCAGCGCCTCCTGCAGGTGGAGGATGAGGATAGCGTCTGGTTCGCTGCCGTGTGAGTCTCGACATTCCACTGTATTCCAGCCATGGCTGCATTGCCTCAGGATGAGCTCACACTTTTGTGATCCTGCATGTAATTTAAGGTAGTCCTTGTTGAACATCAGGTCCGGTGTCTTAAATGGGCTGCATCCCAGCAAACGTTTTAGTATTGCTCTGTAAAAGGTAGACTTCCTCACTTCATTTTCTGAAGCTCTTAATAATTTAAAACTGTTGGTGTTAATTTGTGACATCAGTCAGTATCATCAGACACATTACATTTAATGAGTCTTGGAAAACTTGCCGCCTGTTTCAAAGAATCCAGAGTGCCTGCACAGTGTCCACTTAATCACTTCGCACACGTGCAGTGACTCCTACTGGCCAGATTTGGCACTTAAAGATGGCAGAACTGTTCCTCTCCTGAGGGACACGGCAGTGTCTGATTGCAGCACAGCTGGCTGTCAGCTGGGTAACCCATCGCTCATCCTGCTCACGGACTGAACATATTCAGCCCCACAGCCAGTGGAACCATGTTATCGTGGCCATCCCTAAAAATAATTAAAGGAGCGATTGGGTGAACTTCTTCAGAATCAACAGTGAAACAAACCGGAGGACACACGTGGAAACTAGACGGAGGTGCGTTTAAAACTGAGAACAGGAGGCAGCTCCTTGCACGAGTGTCTAGAGTTAGCTTTGACAATTGTGAAGGGAAGTTCTGGATGAGATCCTGGGGTCAGTTAGCTTCTAGCAGCCATTATTGGCATCTCTTTAAATCCCCATACCTCTCCATCTCTCCAACCTCCCTTTTTATTCCTATCCCTCCCTCCCATCCTCTAACACCACCCCTCTCTCCTCGTGTCTCCTCTCCCCGCCCCTCCTCAGGGCTGTGAAGGTGCTGCTGTCCCGGCCCAGAGGAGTGCTGGCTGTGAGAGAGCACAGGGCGCTGCAGGACCGGCTGCAGGTGCGGATTCACCTCTCCTCATCTCCCCCTCTGTCTCCTCAATTACAAAATGTACAAGTGACATCGATGTGTTGCTGTCCTTCTCCTCTTCCCTTCCCTGCCCTGCTGCCCTCATCCTCCTTTCCTACCGCTCTCTGACTCCTTCTCTTTTCCCCCACTGGTTTCTCTCTCAGGCTCTTTCCTGCTCCGACTCCATTGGGAAGGAAGTCTTGGAGGAAGTGGATACATGTCTGAAGAAGCTGCAGCGCATCTCAAAACCCCTTCCCCCAAAAACAAAACCCCTCAACTCGGGTTCCTACCTCATCTACTGGGAGAGGGCTCAGCTAGAGAGTGGGCTGGAGGTCACATACAGGTGAGGGAGACAAATGGAAAAGGAGAAAGAGAGTCAAGATGACGATGATGGTATTTAATAACACATAAATAAGCGAATTCAATTAACAAAATCAAAATGAAAGGAATTGTGTGTCTTTTCACACCCTGTTGTGTCTGCAGCCTGCTGGATGGCAAGAGGCTGCTATATCGTGGTCCCCAGTGCCGATTCACCCTCGACCTCTCTGCGCTCGAAGCAAGTCACACACTTACCCTCCGGCTCGTCCAATCCACTGCGGGAGGTGATGTCAGCCCCTGCAGCAAGCCCACGCTATTGGCTGTGGAGAAGGAGTGGGAGGAGCCAGCCCCGCCTGGCCCACCCCGAGATCTGCGTGTGGCTGGCTGTACAGCCACACAGGTCAAGCTGAGCTGGGCGCCCCCTGCTGGCGGGCCTGTGCCCAAAGCCTACCAGCTGTATCGTGGGGCCACGCTGCTGGAAACCCTCACTGAACTGAGCTGCATTACCGGGGGTCTGTCTCCTGGGGCAACCTATCAATTTGGGGTGTGTGCCGTGGGGCCGGGAGGCAAGCTGGGGGAGCAGGCGACTGTCCAGGCCTGGACCACAGACCCTCAGGACCACGCTCCCAGCCGGCTGACAGTGACGGTCTTGGGGCGGCACGAGCTGCTGGTGACCTGGGACGTCCCCGCGGTGCCCCTGGGCAAACTGTTCAACTACGAGCTCAGCATCAACGGGCGCGTGGCCTACCTGGGCACCGAGCGCTCCCACGCTGCCCGGCGGCTCAGCGCCAGCACGGAGTACACCTGCACTGTCACCGCCATCACCAGCGGGGGGCGCTGTGACAGCCGGCCCGTCACGAAGAGGACGGCCAGGGACGAGTATGAGCACACGCACAGGTCCGAGAGCGGAGGGTGGAGGGGGGGAGGAGACGAGGATGGTGGCAGAGGAGGGAGGAAAGAAGGGTGATGGGGGGTGGAGGGGAGAGGTGGTGGAGATCGACATCTGCTGAATCTCACTTCTTCAAGCCTGAGAGCTGTGTCTGTGCCTTTTCCTCCCTCTCCTCCTCCTCCTGCCCTTCTCTCAGGAGTCTGTACTCCCCAGCCCGGCCATCACACCCCCCCTTGCCCTGCGGTCCCCCTCCCCCCAGTAAAGAGGCCACGGACGTCGGCGAGCGGGTCAGGAGGTCGCGGCGGCAGCCTGGCCGAGGGCCCAGGGCTCACCTCTCCCTGAGCAGGAGTCTGGACAGGCAGGCGGACAGCGAGAGGGACAGACGCAGGTATTTCCCCATCTCTGAACTGGCTTCATCACTCTGCTCTCCATCGTCAGCTGATGGCGTTAGGGTTAGGGCGCACTCTTAAACTCTTCAATAGTGAATTTAACAGACACATGTAACAGACTGTGCCGCCCGATGCCACAGTCCTAAAACTCCTCGGGCCTTGAAGGGGAAACGGCAGCAGCTCATGGGACTGAATGTCATTTTCACTGGCGTGTCGGATCTGTCTCTTGCAGGAGAGCCTCAGTTCAGTCACACGGTTCAGAGAGCGGAGGTCCGTCAAGCCACTCCAATGAGGTAACAGCTCACTGTGCAGTAGGACGCCCTGGCACCTGACGCACAGTACGTATCCTGCAGCAGCTCCCCCGAGCGACGGACGGGGTGTGAACTGCGCCTCACCGAAGCTGTGGAGTGAGAACGCCGGGCACTCGGCCTTCTCTCAGGACAGGCCACGGGTGGTGCTGTGCCTTTCTCCCACTCATCCCCGTCTCTGTGTGCCAGGTGGCTCTGGGCACCGTGTGTGGGTACGACGTGGGCTCGGCCTGGCAGAGCCTGAGAGCCCTCAGCAGAGGGGGGGCACCGGCCCAGCC